GCCGTGGCCCAAGCTCTCATTCCCCTGATAGGTGGAGAGTTGGCCACTAAGCGGAGCACCACTTCTGTGACGTAGAAAATTATTCAAATCTGGATCAGTCTGTATCAGATCCGTTGCAGCCCCGTTTTTAGAGATTTAGGTACGGAGGAAAATAGAGAGGGTTGTGTTTTCTGACACTTGGTGAGTTCCCTGGAACACCGGGGACACATATTCATGTATAAAAGATGTACAAAAGTGCATTTTGCATGATAGGTCCCCTTTAAATGATTGCCTACATTGCACAGGGTTAGGCTTTTTGTTGTTGTTAAGAAGTTGATCTCGCCCCTGCCCCCGCCTCCGACGTAAGCGTGACGTATGCGGTGCTTGCTTTCTAGACTGACAACTTTTTGGTGCTTGAAACAAACCGGATTCCAGAGCTTAGAGGCGGCTCCGCTGCGGTGTGAACAGGAAAAACCGGTGCTTTTCAAGCTCCAGCTCCGAACCGGCCCTGGAACCGCGTTGGTGTAAAAGGGGCATCAGTGAACGTTTGTTGGATAATGATGAATAACAATGAAAAATGATGTCCTTTTATCAAGAAATAGCAGTTGAAGTCCTCGGGCAACCTCTTTGGGGAAGTCACTGTCATGTTAAGTGCAACGTCATTTTGAGTGCTAATATTTTTCCTCAGGTGGAGTTGAACCGCAGCATCTTTCTGTACTCGCAGGGTGTCGCTGGTCGTCAGTACCAGTTCAGTACTGGAGTTTCGGCATAATTAGCTGAGTTTGTAATAAATCAGGAGCTGAAAGTCACTGGAACACAGTGGCCCTTTGTCTTTGTCTCCTATAGTCCTCTGACATTCTGACTTTTTTTCCCAGGTATGGGATGTAATGAATGTACACATCCGTCGTGTCAGCACTCTCTAAACTCTTTGGGCATTGGACAGTGTGTGGAGTGTGATGGTGGGGTTTTGGTGCTGGATCCCACTTCTGGACCAAAATGGAGGATGGCCTGTAATACATGTAACGTGGTGGTGCACTTCTTTGAACATGCACATAGAGTGCAGGTAAGAATAAACGCCCTTTATCTTGTCAAGACATAATTTAAATGGCAAAATGTCTCCCAAAATGCCAAACAAGTCTTCACAGGCCCAGAACACCAAACATATGAGAAGCTGTTTTCCCTGATTAATGCATAGTGTATATCCACATGCTGTATGTAAGCTTTTTAATGTAAAGTGATTTGCTAATGTAAATGTGTTTCCTCTTATGTGCAATGAGGTGCAGACTGTTTTGCTGCAGAATTTGAAGGAAATGCGTACCATTATTTCCATATTTTATTGTCAACAATACAAACTAAGACAAGCCCAAACATACAATGTGTTAATCAGTCTTTCAACACTTCTGACTTCCCTTTCTATGGCTCTCTGCCCTAAGTGGATTTGTTTGAAACTAAGACATATTTAAAAAAGCTTAAAAATATAAAGTTCCCTTTTTTATAAAGAATAAATAATATCCTACAACAGTTTTTACCAAAAGTTATTTAAATAGGTGGAAGTAATGCAGTAATAATGCTGTTTTACTGAGAGCAGAACCAGGTGTTGGCACTAAAAGTCAGTGGATCACTAAAGTTATGAATTGATTATAGTTTACACCCTAAGCTGTGGAGCCACTTACATTTGTTCTGAGGGTTTTATCATTTCATCTCATACAAAGCGTCTCTTCATCCCTGCCTCTGGTCCTCTCTCCCCACAGGTTGCTCAGGAGAGCTGCGAGGCCTGCGACGCCTCTCTGGTCGCAGTCGACTTCAACAAGACTCGCACGCCACTTCCTGCCGGGGAGACCCAACACACTGGCTGTGTGTTCTGTGATCCAGTGTTCCAGGATCTGGTGGAGCTCAAACATGCCACCATGAGGTATCGCGGTGGGGGTGCGAGACGAGGAGGACGGGGACGTGGCAGGGGACGCCGTGGCAATCCGAAAAAACCTAAGGACAAAATGGCGGCCTTGGCTGCATACTTTGTGTAGTGTCTGTGTATAATGCATACTGTTATTTGTTTGACACATAGTATGAAGATTTAGTAAATTGACTTTTATAAGTGCATTTAACTACACTCAAATAAAATATGTACAACAAATGTGGGCTGTCTGTTTTCCCCCCATCATGAAAGAGTTGTTTAACAGTGTTTTTTCAGCTAGTTTACACACTACCAGTTAACATGGTTACGTACACTTTTATTATGCTATATGTCCTACACAATCATTTAATTGACAAAAATACAAATGTTAAAGGAAGGAATTTGTCGGCATCTTTCGTTGCGGTTGCAGATTACAACCAACTGAATCCCTGTGGCTCACCCCTCACTTTACACACTTGCAGGATTGAGAGTTTAAACCCGTTCTAACCCTGGTATCTTTCAGGACATTCACCAGAAAACCCTTTTAACAAAACACTACTTTAGAAGCAATTCAATTCAAGCTTTGGCTGACATTAAAAGTGTTTGTCTGTTCCTGTAGAAACATGGCGGTGCAACATGTCACATTCTAACACTGTTCTCAGTTTCAGGCGAGTATACAGTAGTGAAATGTATGAATATTCCATTCCTGCTAAAAGACCCCCTAAATGATACGCACTTTTAAAAGTATTATCACAGATTTATGAGAAATTATGTCTCTTTTACACCATTTATTGCATTACAAATGGTTGTTGATTCATCAATAATTATTTTAAGTTTAGACAAATCTCTTTTTCAGTGTAATCATCCTTTTTAGTAGTTTCATTTCATGTTCTTTCCTAGAGAGGCGAAGTCCCTCCTCTTCCGGTGGACCTCCATGGGACCTTATTTCGGAAAAAGTATGTATTGAAGTCAATGGAGAGAGAACTTATCTCTCGATCCCGTTTGAATTGTGCCACGAATTACACATATGATGTTTGTCAATCTTAAAAAAATAATTTCCGTGTCAAAAAGTCACAGTTTTTCGTAAAACTGTTGAAAAATACGCAACTAGAAAGACTACAAATCCCGGTCCCGCATGTTGGCTCTTACGGAACCGACTAACTCCCCTTGTGTGTGTGTACAGCTCTCAACGTGCCCAGACTTGGAGTGATTTTCACCTCTTTTAATACTTTTCACCTCATTCTGAAAGAAAGAAGTGAAATGTGCCAACGTGACGACCGTCTTGGTGTGTTGTGCGAGACCAGAGATGTAGTTCATTGAGCGGTTTCACACAAAACAAAGTGTTACTTCATAGTTATACGACACATTTTAATTTTTTTGACTGGCAAAATGATCTTTTAAATTGACAAACATCATATGTGTAATTCGTGGCACAATTCAAACGGAATCAAAAGATAATCTTTCTCTCTCCATTGACTTCAAAACATGATTTTTCCGAAATAAGGTCCCATGGAGGTCCACCGGAGAGGGAGGGACTTCGCTTCTAAGGAGCTTAATCTGGGCCAAAATGTTTGATCATTCAAAAGAATAAAATATATTTGAAATGTCAAGATTTGATCCTGAACTATAAAAAAATAAACTAAAGTCTTCAAATGTAAGTATTTAAAAAGTGTTTCCATGTTGAATATTATAATTCAGTGTAGCATTTTCTTATGTCAAATAAATGACATTTTAATCCTTTGTTTCACTTGCAGATTTTGTGCTTTCAGATTCAGAACTCTTTTTTTTCAGGTTCTAAATCTTTCCCTTCTCTTTCCGGTTATGGTGCGATGTAGGGACGTGCACAGACATTTGGAGGGGCTATTGCTCTAAACTGGAAAAAGGACCTCCCCCCGAAAAAAAACAAGACATTTTGAAAATTGTAACTTTTTTTTAATGTAAAAGAAACCAAACTATTATTACTTCAACTACATTAAACAGTAATTCACATCTCATAACAAAATAAGCTAAGGCGACTACTTGCATTCGGTGACTTGATTTAAAAAATGAAAACCAGGGACATTTTTTGTTTTGCAGTCCATATCTCATTAAAAATATCTAATGGTAGTAACTATTAAAGACAAAATGGGGACAATTCTGTTCTAATGTAGTTTGACCATTGTAACTGCTGTGCAGTCCAGACATACTGATAAAATAGGGCTTCTACCCAGTAATCGAGTTGAGGGGGGATGAGGGGGGGATGGCATCCCCCCTGAAATAAAAACGGTCAAAATCATCCCCCTTCTAAAACTGCCATTCCCCCTTTCCATCCCTTGTCATTTTATCAATGAACGTGGCACTGGTATTCTACCTAATTACCTTAAATAAGCTCACTAATGAATGAAACCAGTTCAATACGCATTATTCTTATTCTTATCATTCTTTATGAGCGCAGTAACGGTAAGGTATCTAATTACTTATTTAGTATTCCATAACTTAGTAACAGAGATGGTCAAACTAAAGTGGTAGAGACATGGCAGAAATCCTACAATGAAGCGGGACGGTGAACTGTTCTCCGGTGAGAGGGCGATCAAGAAAAGAACGAGCGGCCCCGTTGAGCGAGTTTACAGATGAAAAGACACAGAAAGACAGAAGCACAATAACAACAAGTAGGCGCTATATTTAGGTGTTTTTTTTGTAAATAACCGACGGTATCAAGAGGAAGTAAAGTCCCCTGGTTTGTCCCTTATACCCTAACTGTGCCATGAGACAACTCAAAATCAAGTATCCAAAATCCGACACTGAGGTGGTCTTAACGAACCGGCAGATGACAGCGCTGACAACGTGTGTTTCTCGCAGCGAGACGCTACAATACTAATTGTGGGCTTATCATGCTGATTCGGCCACAACAGAAACAACTAAAACAAACTCTCGCTCTCTCCAGAGGGGCAGGTCAGCCAAAAACATAGATATATATAAACACATATCTATGGCCAAAAAGGCCAAACGGGCCGTTGCCCGGGCAACATTATCCCGTACCTGTGCACGTCCCTGGATGATGTCCATTCTTTGTGCCGTGTCTAGATGTTGGCATGGCCCTTTAAATCTCCAGCGGAAGGAGGCATGTGGGCGGGGCTGCGAACGGAAACCCGGAACCCAGCCGGAATCCACCACACCTCACCTCTTATTTTTATGGCGATACTAGCAGCAGTGTTTCTAACATCACGTCTTCCAGCAGGTCAGTGTTTGAGCTTTCAGTGAATCTTTACCTCTGTTCCTAAGACTTTACTGTGCTAAAGACAATGTCATGTTTCAGGCTAGCTCAATGTAGCATTAAGAAAGTGCACCCTACTCAGTCAGAATCAGAATACCTTTATTAGTCCCACAGAGGGGACATTTGCAGCGTTACAGCAGGAAAGAGCCACAGACAGCTGTGTTGCATATCTTACATGCGTTAAAAAAAAGTACTAAGTTATACTATAATAAACAATATGCTAAAAAAAGATAAAAAGTTACATAATTTTCAAAAATACAGATCAAAAACAAATCAAATCCTGTAGCAGTTCTTAGGATTTAGCAGCCCGGTATATATTACAGTTATTAAAGATGGCATATGTATATAAAGTATATAATGTAGCCAATTATGACCTAATGTTATGCTGCTGAGTGCAACACTAGGGAAACTAGAAAATGCGTGTGAATGCTGTAAACGGCTGAAAATGCAGAAAAAGCTGAATATGCTATTAGCTGAATGGTAGCTGCTTTTAGCTACAGAGACCAAGTCAGTGTGTTCCTGAACTTAGCGGAGAAATGCAGAAAAGTGAAATCATTTGAATCAAATTGTTACAGCTCAAATGCATTGCAATGACTGCTGACTGTTGAAAACTTGAAAGTGAAATGTTAAACTGGAAGAGTAGGACAAATTGTGAAGAAGCTTAATATTTAAAAGAAAAGGTTTAAAAAAGGTATAAACAACAACATGTAGGCCTATAGCCTCAATGTCCTGAAATAGCTGAATAATGTAATCGTTGAATGGTTTCTGTAGGCTGAAGGAGTTAGATATTAAATGTAAGTAGTAGTGTATGAATGTTTACAAAAACACCGGGATCCTCCCATTGAGTTACATGTTAAAAGAGTTTAAACAGCTGAATATTTCAAAAAGTATAACATATTTTGAAAAAGTTGAAAGTTTCCCATCATGTGCTGAACAGGCTGAATAGTTTGATATTTGAATGGTTTCTGTAGCTGAAAGTATGCTGAAGTTATGGAGAGCCAAACTATTTGGTGAAATAATAAGAAGAAGATGATCGAAGAATCGAAGAACTATAGTGGAATGCTGTAAACAGCATTCGCACATAAACTCACGTTACTTCTGGGAAAGCATAGTACACGACATAGTAGACTGCGAGCACTGGCAGCTTGTGATGCACACCACACGCACGCACACACACACACACACACACACACACACACACACACACACACACACACACACACACACACACACACACACACAGAGGACTGATGCATGTTCACTAAGACACACACATAAACAGCCTTAAAATCACAAACTGCCATTACCAAAACACTATTCCTTACAAAGTGCTTCATGTTCTACCAAAAACGGCATTGTTTCACTGAAATAGTGATAAAATCACAAAGTGCTTTAAGAGTCACATTCTTAACGAAAATCTATTCACACAAAGTACTTCAGACTGATGCATATCAGGGCTCGACAGTAACGGTTGCCATTGGCAACCATTCAGAATAAATGTCAACTACTTCTTGGCCTTTGGTTGCCATCAGTGGCAACTAGTGATGTGTCGGTCGCGAACGAGCCGGCTCTTTTAAGTGAACGACGGGAGCCGGCTCGCGCCCGAGAACGAGCCGTTTTTTGTTTGTTTTTTGTCAAGTAATACAAGACAGAATGATGATGATGATGATCTCTGCGCTACAGCTGCTCGGTGCATGCATGCAGTGACATGTAATATCCAAGGATTAGAGACGGTTGGATGCTGCTGTTTTGAGCATTGCAATATATTTATTTTCACTATGTTATTTATTTATGATTATCCTTAGGCTCAGCAAAGATTTGATGTCAGCTGTTGCTGTCTTTTTTTCTATAGTTAATAGTTACTGAAATAGAGCCCTGCTGTTTTGTCAGGGCTTTTTCTTTAAATATAATTTTAAAATGTCCTCTTAAGTTTTTATAGGTGTTGCTATCTGCTTTGTGTAGCGTGGTTCTACAAGCAAGTCAGTGCATTCATTGAGTGGTATCAGAGAGGTACAAGTAGGGTTGGGTATCGTTTGAATTTCCACGATTCCGATTCTACTTTTCGATTCCGGTTCTTAACGGTTCTCAATTCCGATTCTTTGAGGGGCAGGGTAAACAAATGATGCATGCTTCTTCCACCAAAAAAATTACATTTATTCGAGAAACTTATACACAGGTTAGTTTACAGTAATATTCACATTAATCAGTCTGTTTATATTCACTGCTATGTAACTGTAACCTGAGAACCACTGAAGCTACAACAGTGCAACAGTCCAACTTTTAAAGAACAGTTCTTGTTGAGAAAAACAAGCATATCTGCCTTCTCAGGCATACCGGGAAGAAATGTTTGAACATTTTAAAGTAAAATGCTTCAATCTGGTGCACTTTAAGCAGAATTACTAGAGACTAGATCTAGGGGGTACAACTCTAAACACCCATATGAAAAAGATCGGTTTACATTTTAATAATTAAACAAGTATGTGAACATAACCAATAACCCATAGCCAATAACAAATACATGTAACGTATTTTATTTTTGTTGTTCATTCATATTTTATTTTACTATTTTATTTATGCATATTTTTGTATCTCTCCAGTTTAAAACGATATGTCTGGTTTACTGTCCTATAGTAGGCTATACATTGGAATGATTTCAAACCTGTTTTTATCCCAATAGTTATAAAGGAGTGCCTTTGCCTTTGAGTGTGTTTACATAAATTGTGATCAAAACGTTTGAGACCCACTGAGATAACTTAGACCAGTGGTCACCAACCTTTTTAAGCCCAAGATCACCAACCTCGGCCTAGGTGAAAGGCGAGATCTACCTATTGCAGAATTTAGTGACAAAGACGGCCCAGACAGTGCTTCCAATTTGAGGCCTTTTATAGGCTAATTGCATCTGAATGACTGTTACAATGAAGGCTCCATAATCAGCTCAGAGCATATAGGCAGGGGTAAAGTGCTATTTTTTATGAGTGGGGGGCGGACCTCACCTCCTCTAGGGGGGTCCGGGGGCATGCTCCCCCGGGACGATTTTTTCTAAATATTGAAGTTGAAAGCATCAATCTGGTGCACTTTGAGAGCAACATTAAGAGATCTATGGATACCTCTCTCAGCACCCATATGAAACAGAACTGTAAACAGATTTTCTTTTTCTTTATGGATATTTTACAAATCACTCCCCTTTCAAACTGTATTCTTGTTTTACTGCCATATAGTATTTCATACCTGTTTTTCATTTATTCTCTTATTGTTTGTATAACTATAATGATCATATGAAGGTGTGCCTCGGAAATAATCTTTTGAATAATTTGTGACAAAACCGTTCTAAACACTCAGAGTCCTTTAGCTCACCTGAGCCCCTCAGTCTGACAGGGGAGGAGTCTCCTCCAGCTTGTTGTGGAAACAGCTCCTTATGTCCGTTAGTGCAGCTAGTTAACCAGATGCTAACATCACGGTCCCCGCTAGCACCGGTCTCTCTCTTTCTCTCTCTCTCTCTCTCTCTCTCTCTCTCTCTCTCTCTCTCTCTCTCTCTCTCTCTCTCTCACACACTAAATGCGCTATTGCCCCCCACACACACACACACACACACACACACACACACACACACACACACACACACAGAGCCGAGCTTGAATGACACAAGCACACGTGTATTTCCATGCAACTCTCTCGTTGGTCTGGTGTCTTGCCTCTGTTGCATTCACTGAACACGGGAAACTGCAGTCCTGCCCTTACCTCACTGGGCTGTAGTTATCAGCCTCTCAGTCTGACTGGAGAGGACTCTCCCTCCACATCATTGTAGAAACATCTTCTTCTTATATCCGTTAGAGCAGCTAGCACGGCACCAGATTCTAATAACAACTGCGCGTACCGGTGCACCCTTCCTCGCTCACTCGCATTTTGGCTGTGAGCTGCGGGTGCCAGATATGCCAACATCCCCCATTTTCATCACTTACAGCGCCCATCGTACAGGGCAAATGAAACGTGTAACCGGGGTGAAAAGGGTGTTACATTTACTTAATTATGAATGTTGTTACATCAAGGCCAAAAATTAGGATGAGCCCCAACGGTTAAAACTTTATTTTTTCCTCCCAGAGCTGTCAGCGCAGCGCCTCCACAGATCTGGCGCACTAGGCGAACATCTATAACGCCAGTGCTATGGGCCCGGATGAGCCGGCCCTGGTCCCAGGTTACGCTGTAGGAAGTGTAGGTACAACGCTACATTTCCCGCCCCGCCGCAGTCATACAGTAGGCTACGGAGAGCGGGGAGAAACATTTCCTCAGGCAGCTGGTTTAGTATACCAGCAATTGATTATATAAATATATATACAATTTCAGATTCAAACAAGTATGAGAGCACTCTCATAATAACGTAACACTGTCAGAGACTGGATATGGGATTATTTTTTAGAAATAAGTTCTGCTTCTCCACAAGTGCGAGGAAACGGCTTGTAGCTGCCACATTTTTGCCGCTCTTGGACTACGGGGATGTTCATAACCAACTGTAAACCCCTCACACACCACTGCACGCTGTACGCTTTAGTCAACTGGACATCATTATAAATGCGCAGATCACTGCACTGGTACAAACTCATCTATACCGCTATGCTTGGACTGCTGCCCCTCTACATATCCACTTACATATCACACAAACAGTACAGCTATAGACTAAGATCTCAACATTACTTCACTCTGTCCGTCCCCTCAGTACGCCCGGTGCTTGGGAAAAAAGCCATATCATACTCAGCCCCCTCGACCTGGAACTCACTTCAGCAGGAACTTAAGCTGACCACTTTGATACCCATCACGGATTTTAAACTCATTTTAAAAAAGCTGGAGAAATCATCTGTGGGTGTTTGCACCTGCTATATCTGACTACTGTATATGGATTTTAATGACTACTTTTTTACGATGTTGTATTTTAGTGTTGCCTCTGTGTTTAGTGTCCTGTCTGTCTGTAACTTTGTGTGGTAGTGTTACCACTGACAGGTCTCTCTTGAAAATGAGACCTTGTGTCTCAATGAGATCTACACCTGTATAAATAAAGGCTAAATAAAAAATTAAAAAATATATATATCCCCCCCCCCCTCTCTGGTCGCTACAATGAGGAGAATAAATTACAGGCCAAAAGTTGTATTTACAAGTATTAAAAGTAAGCTGAGGACACCAAACCAACTGAGACCCGTCTGTCCGCTGCATCTACGCACTGTACAACACACACACCTACACACTGTACCACACACACACCTACACACTGTACCACACACACACACACTGTACCACCTACACACTGTACCACACACACACCTACACACTGTACCACACACACACCTACACACTGTACCACACACACACCTATACACTGTACCACACACACACCTACACACTGTACAACACACACCTACACACTGTACCACACACACCTATACACTGTACCACACACACCTACACACTGTACAACACACACCTACACACTGTACCACACACACACCTATACACTGTACCACACACACACACCTACACACTGTACAACACACACCTACACACTGTACCACACACACACACACACACACACACACACACACTGTACCACACACACCTACACACTGTACCACACACACACACACACACACTGTACCACACACACACACACACACTGTACCACACACACCTACACACTGTACCACACACACACACCTATACACTGTACCACACACACACACACACTGTACCACATACGCACACCTACACACTGTACCACACACACACCTACACACTGTACCACACACACACACACACCTACACACACTGTACCACACACACACCTACACACTGTACCACACACACCTACACACTGTACCACACACACACACTGTACCACACACGCACACCTACACACTGTACCACACACATACCTACACACTGTACCACACACACCTACACACTGTACCACACACACACACACCTACACACACTGTACCACACACGCACACCTACACACTGTACCACACACGCACACCTACACACTGTACCACACACACACCTACACACTGTACCACACACACACACACACACCTACACACTGTACAACACACACACCTACACACTGTACCACACACACACCTATACACACTGTACCACACACACCTACTGCTCCTAAAGCATAATCAGGCTACAGCCGTTGTGTATTTTATTATGTGAAGCACTAAATGGTCTTAGAAAAATATCGACTGTAGATATCTACTAAACCAGTGTTTCTCAAACTTTTTCATACCAAGGACCACTTAACCAATAAAAAAACACTCGCGGACCACCTAACTCCACAAATATCCAAAAACACATCGTTTTTTACAAATCGCCTGAAAATGGTACAAACAAGTGGCAACATGTGTGATGAAGGTGCTTATCTGGGCTATATCATGCAATTGAAAGTGAAACTTAAGCTTGCTCCATTGCGGAGATATTCCCGCGAGAGTGCGAAAAACTTAAATTTATTTATTTATTTAAAATGTGAAATTTTACCAATATACTCACGGACCACTAGGGGGCGCTCACGGACCACTAGGGGGCGCTCACGGACCACCAGTGGTCCGCGGACCACACTTTGAGAAGCACTGTACTAAACTAAAGCAAATAAAGAGAGTAGGCCTGTTATACTGAGTGATATATATTATACACACTGCTCTGCTTTCTGCACGGACCTCACAGCTGTTCTCTCTGGAAACATCGCGTCTCGATGAAAGCAGTTAATAAAATAATATCCACGCCTGATCCTCGGTCCTCGAAGTGCATTTAGAGAAATGAAATGTCCTTCAACATGGCGCGCTGAAATTCATTTCCGGGTCACTACCGGAGGACCGAGGAGTCGAGGAGGGGGAATTAGTGAAATGAGAAAGGGCCACTGTATGTTTATAGTTTTGGTAGTATATTTTCCAGTCGCTCGATGAACCGCGTTGTTATCTGCCTACAAGCTGCTGCTCGCTGTGTCATTGAGCCCCCCCCCCTGCTCTCTCTGCCCTGTAAGGCTCCACTGTTACCTGTGACCCCTGACCCCCCTCAGAGCTTGCTGCAGTCAGTGGGATGGAGGAGGCGGCCAGGTGCTTCCTGGGGAGGTTTGTGGAGGAGTTCCCGGCTGCTCTGGAGGAAGGGGGTGCACTGCCCGTCAGCCCCCTGAGCAGCACAGCATCTATGGGGGAGATGCAGGGAGAGAGCCTGGAGCTGGGTATAAGGATGCTGGCTGTAAGGTATGACAAAAGATTAACTGTATGTATGTATGTATACTATGTATATATATGTGGTGTGTGTGTGTGTGTGTGTGTGTGTGTGTGTGTGTGTGTGTGTGTGTGGTGTGTGTGTGTGTGTGTGTGTGTGTGTGGTGTGTGTGTGTGTGTGCTGTGTGTGTGTGTGTGTGTGTGGTGTGTGTGTGTGTGTGTGTGTGTGTGTGTGTGTGTGTGTGTGTGTGTGTGTGTGTGTGTGTGTGTGTGTGTGTGTGTGTGTGTGTGTGTGTGTGTGTGTGTGTGTGTGTGTGTGTGTGTGTGTGTGTGTGTGTGTGTGGTGTGTGTGTGTGTGTGTGTGTGTGTGTGTGTGTGTGTGTGTGCTGTGTGTGTGTGTGCTGTGTGTGTGTGTGTGTGTGTGTGTGTGTGTGTGTGTGTGTGTGTGTGTGTGTGTGTGTGTGTGTGTGTGTGTGTGTGTGTGTGTGTGTGTGTGTGTGTGTGTGTGTGTGTGTGTGTGTGTGTGTGTGTGTGTGTGTGTGTGTGGTGTGTGTGTGTGTGTGTGTGTGTGTGTGTGTGTGTCCTGCCTGCCCCCTCACTGTGCATGGGTAGTTGCATGTTTGATCAAAGCTTATGAATCTGTTTCACATATGCATGACTGAAGAAGGCTGTCAGCCTAGGAGCAGTGTAAACCAGTAAGAATGACCCTGTTGTGTCTCATTCCTTATTCACTTGCACTGTGCAAATGTTTTAGCAAACATGTGTGAAGCAAGAACAAGACCAATTGGACTGTTTCTTCTCGCTTCTGCTCTTTCTTATGCCCTGCCAAGCAGTGGTGAACCGTCAGGGCCTTCAAGGTATTCAGAGGATACTCTGGAACACTCAGATAAAACAAACAAAACATCGATTTAATTATATAAATAAAATGAATAAATGAGAATGGTATCTGTGTTGATCTGTAATATTACAGTGTTACGTTGATTTGTTCGTCCTTCTCGGACCATGCACTACGCATTTCAGTGGTTTTGTGTTAGAAAAGAAAGCAACCAATCAGATCTTGTTCTGGGTCTCTGGGTAGAATATCCTTCAAGGTATTCTACATCCTTGATCGAATGCCCTGGTCGTTGCACTGAATGAGAGCGTACGTTTGGACTGACAGTTTGATCAACCAATCATATATTGACTTGTAGCCAATGGGCGTGTTCTTTCAGAGTTCCCCTCGGTTCCAGGGTATTCTAGAAGGCCCGCTAGTTAACTGGCTCGAGACAGAGGATCTAATGCGACGAAGCAATTCATGCCGTTTTATTGTTTTTAACGTTGAAATGACAAGTGCAACAGGTGAAGATGAAGTTGTTGCGGAATTGTTGTGAGTACCCTTTTCAAGACGACAATTCAGTGAAAAGACGGACATTATAATGCCGTGGGGGAGGGGGGGGGGGCGTGTCTACAGAAGGTCCAGTTGTGATAGACACGGTTCGCCACTGCTGCCAAGAATGCTCCACATCCTGTCTGAAGAGACCCCATTGTTATCCCCGTGTCCTGTTTCCTAAGCCCAGAATTGTTCTGCAACAGGAATGTAATTCTGTAAAAGAGAATGGACATTTCCTGTTTGGATCTTGACAAAATACACCATGCATCCCTGCCTGTGTCTGTGTGTTCAGGGGGGCTCCTGCAGGCTTCAGTGCCCTCCTCTGCCAGGCAGCGCAGTCCCAGCTGCTGCAGGAAGACCTTTCACCTTTTCACTGCCCCCAGGAGGCTGAGGACAACCAGGAGGAGGAACAGCCAGTCGCCTGTGAGTTTTATTTTGGAAGCTGCAGTTTGTGGTGCTGTTGAAACATACTGTGTTATATTGAGGGGTTTCCCAAGACTAGAGATGCACTAATGTCAAATGTCTCATACTATGTTTAGAGTAAAGATTTGTTTGCATGCTCACTGTGTGAACACCCGACTCAAACAGAACTTACATCTGATTTACAAGGTCAGATGCTCAGACAGACCCCTCCCCGGGGACGGCTGGTCTGCTGCCACACAGTCTGAATCAGCAGCAGAACTTCTCCCAGTGAACTGATCAGGAGTTGAGAACACTCTGATAGTTGAATGTGATGTATTGATCCTGAAAACACTCGCTTCCAGGGCGGAAACTGTAGCCGATGGTTTTAAATAGGGCTAACAGCAGCTGATGTATTAGCACAGCCCTACCCAATACCCCCAAAAACTCCAGTGAATTTCTTCACTCGATTCTTGTTGCCAACTTGATACCATGGTAATAAATCCCAATCCTACTTTTCTTTATTACTGGTTGCATGCTGTTCTTTTATTAGGAAGTTAAAAAGGTCAATTATTTCTCAACCGTCTAATTTATGTTGCTGCGAAAACTACCTCCTTCAAACAATCGTTTTTATTTAAGTTCCTCAGCAAAAAAGTGTTCAATACCACATTGAGACATGTCATATTAACTTCATAATTGATCCTCCCCCGATACTCATTCTAATTGGATGACCCTGATGTACCCTATGCTACTTGCAATACTGTAGAAATAGAGTCCTTGCTTCTGGTTCTGGTTTGATCTCCAGCAGCTCTGGAGGAGAGACTCTGGCTCCTTAAGACTGAGTGCTAGCTAGTCACGGTCTGTGTTTCTGCTGCCGGCGCTGACAGGCTGCTTTTTAGGAGCTGGAAACGGCTATCCTCTGCTCCTAGAAACGAATGATGTAAAACCAAACACATTCATTTGTCATGTATTGTATTTCCAATGGCGAAAAAGTATTAAAGACTGTGATTAATTGATTTATTTTACTTGTGTCTTCCCTTCAGTGCTTCAGTCGGAGGCAGTCCAACGGCTTTTCCTCAACAAGCTTATAAATGTGGCGCTGGCATGGCATCAAAACCTCCCTGAGCCCCTCCCCCCCCCCTCCCCGCTTCCTCCGCTGCTCTGTCCATGCCATTAAGAACACGAGGAGGAAGATGGAGGACAAACACCTGGCACTGGCTGAGTTCAACCAGCTGTTTGGTTTCAAGGTACAAGATACAAACAAATAATAATATATTCTTCATGGGTTTGTTTAAAAAAAGCTGTATGCTATAAATGCTATTGTTCACACTGTTCCGTGTCCAGGACAGAGAGCAGTGTGCCTACTACGCTGTGTTTGACGGCCATGGAGGGGTGGACGCTGCCACCTACGCTGCCACGCACCTCCATGTGGCCCTGAGTAGACAGGAGACCCTGCAGAGGGACCCCGCCACTGCCCTGAAACAAGCCTTCACACACACAGACCTCATGTTCAGGGGCAAAGCCAAGAGAGAGGTATGAAGTGCGCCACAGGTGACCTTCGCTTACAACTCCTATTTTTTATTGCTTTTATTCTTATCAGTTGGGTATCCCTCTTATTATTTAATGTACCTATATTTAGCTGCTGTTCCACCCCTAATATCCCTTTGGGAGGGAACAAAGTGTGTTCTCCAATAATGACCCATTACTAGAATGATTCATTTAAGAGAAATACTATAAATGGATGCAATTGATATAAAGGATCCATTACAAAGTACTTTAATCGTATAAGATTAATAACTATAGTATTACTAAGTAATAATAACTATAGTTTGTTTTTGATATTGAACTTCTGTATTTTTACTTTTTCTACCATCTGCATCATTTCGTGTATATAACAATTATTGTTATGTTTGTGTTCACCTGAAGCCACCTCTCTTTTATCCAACATGTGTAGGAAGTGTGCAGCCTAAAAGTAGATCAGAGCGCTGCCTCACAGCTCCTCCTCTGCATGCTGATTCTCTTTCTGCTCAGAAACCCAGGCTCAGATCTGTGTGTGTTGTGTGTGTTGTCAGCGGCTGCGGAGCGGCACTACAGGCGTGGCTGTGCTGATCCAGGGTCAGCAGCTGACCGTGGCCTGGCTGGGAGACTCTCAGGCCACACTGGTCAGAAAGGGACAGGCTGTGACGCTCATGGAGCCCCATAAACCAGACCGAGAGGTGGGGATGATGCACACATGCACGTGCTCACTTCTCAGTGTTATGTTTTCCCAACAGAGAAGGTCAGGAAGTATCACATGATCAACTCACAGGGGTACAACAGGAGGAGGTTCTGGGGCACGTGTAGCACTTGTTTCAACATAAAGATGAAACCTCATCTCTGTGTGATCTGGGGCTGTTGTCTGATTATTTGGCAATAAATTGTCAGATGCACTACGTTTAATTTGTCAAAAGGATGTAGAGTCTAACAGCATCTCAAAAGCATTGGACGGCTCCAAAGTCTTGGTCTCTTTTGTCGCCCCCCCCAGGATGAGAGACAGAGGATTGAGGATCTCGGTGGCTGTGTCACCTTTATGGGTTGCTGGCGTGTGAATGGCACCTATGCTGTATCCAGAGCTATAGGTGAGTCCGAAAAGTGCATTTATGTGTCATCCCCTTTTGAAGTTTGGGCTTAGGTAATACTGATGTATGATTGGATAAAAGCTCCAACATTAACAATCATTACTGGACGCAGCGCAACACAGGGAAAAGCTATAAGGTGAAGAGAATAGACTATTGGAAATAATGTAATATGTTAATAAAAAAAACGATATTAAAGGTTAGTCAGGGATTCTGACTAACACCACTGCCTCAACTACAGGCTACCAATGTTTTTGTAAAAACAAGAGAGCCTCGACAGTGGAATGTCCAGAACATCACCTGTCCTGACTTTGTGGTCATGTTTAATATCATATTAGTCTACTGTATATGATCAACAGGAATTATGACACATTTTCTGCAGACAATGACTCCCTCTTGTGGACACTTAGGAAATCTGCAAAATAGACCCGATCATTTCCTTAAAATGGGTCATTATTACATTTCTGAATCCTGTCTGCAGCATTTTTTTTTTTATATATCTTAAATTGTTATTAGCAAAAGCAGTGACACTGATTCATCTTTAGTAAACATTTAGTAAGATAAGATTTCAGGCCTGGAGTCAGTCTGAAGAGGTACAGCTGTGTTTAGCTGACGCTGTCCAACCAATCCACATCCCTCCTGCAGGTGACTTTGACCAGAAGCCCTACGTGTCCGGAGATGCTGACTGCTTCACCACCCAGCTGAGCGGGGACGAGGACTATGTGCTGCTGGCGTGCGATGGCTTTTTTGATGCAGTCCAACCTTCAGAAGTCCCACAACTGGTCCTAGATGCACTCAGGCAGTCTGATGACCCCGAGGGCATGCTGGATCCATCTGAGGAGACTGTGGGGGTGAGAGTGGCTCAGCAGCTGGTAGCCCATGCCAAGGCAGCGGGCTCATGTGACAACATCACCGTGATGCTGGTGTTCCTGCACCCACCAGAGCAGCTGCTGGGTCAGAGCTCCACCATGGGACCAGCACAGTGAAGAAGGTCTGCTGCTCACACACCACTGGGCCAAGCTACTGCCTGACTCAGCATTTCTCTGAACTTCTTCCTCCACAGTATCTGTCCCAGATCCTGCAGACTGGCAGAGCTCATTAACACAGCAGGGCGGAGTCACTCTTTGCCCTGCTTTAACAAGATCCTTTGAATAAAGATGTATTGAATGACGCAGGGGTCCAAAGGCAAAAGTGATCTAAGGGCCTCTTCTGAGTATCCTGCAGCCAAGCATCCAGCCCAGGCTAGGTCTCAGTCAGTGGAGGATGAGAGGAATAAAGTCCACAAATCGAGATATAGTCAAACTTACAGTATATGTGCAAATGACTATTATCCACAGTGTTCCACATTTCTACTTTAAATGTGTCATATCAACTTTAGTCAAAACTCTTCGCCTTTATACTAAATTGACATACGTTATGAAGTTAATATTCAAATGTTTTCTCAATATTTAAACTATTTTCTTAACATGTCTGTTACATTCTACTAATGCAAAAAAAAGGAGTAGCTATCTCCCCCCTCCCGTTGGTTTCACTTACTGTAGGCCTGGCCCTGGTAGCCCTTCATAAGTGTGTGAGTTATTATGTTCAGAAAAAGGTCAGCTTAAAGCACAGAAATGCACATGATTCAGATGTGTATGACTTTGTTTTGGTCTTCATTCTCTGTATTACTGTTGTTGGTCAATATCAAATGTTCTCTATGCATTAACCATATTTGATTTTAAAATGAAATGTAGATTTTGGGTCGCAAACAATCTTTGAGCTCATGTTTCGAAAAGGTTCAGTATTTCAGGCTCTGCAGTGGGATAGGATTCACACTGACATTATTTCAAGTGTCTTCAACACTTTCAGCTGCAGCAAATACTTTCATTGGTGCATGCAGGATAGTGAATCCAGATGGAAGCTGTACTCTTCTGCTATTAAGAGTATTTAGCACTATAAAGGAAGACGACGACGTGTTTATTCAGTAGATTTTGTAACTGGCCCCATGCTGTGATTTCTTTGGAATAGTTACCAATGGTTTGTTTTGAATCAAAGTGACATAGAACTTAATACATGCTGAGGTAAAGGAGTATCATTTACTCGATCACACCCTTCTGACTCCTTTGTTTTTACACATGTTTAACTGTTCTTTATTGTGCCTTATTGAAAACATTAATATAGATATTGTTACAGCTGTTACGATTTGAGTTGTAATATTGTGTATTTCTAACAAGATGATGAGCTTTTTACATACTATTTACTATCAACAGCTTCATTAAAATCAATGATAAAGGAATGTGTATGTTAATACTGTTATTAAATCATACATCAGTATTTTGTTCTCCTTTTTTTCATAAATCAACTTGTAAAGTGCTAAAACTATTTTATCATTTTCAGGATTTTAACCCTTTAAATGCCTGTTTGATTATTTGAATGACATCATTTATAAATAATACACAAATTACATATTTTCAATATAATAATTAGCAGGTGGTGGGGCTTTGGTGGTTATTAGAGTCTTGGATATGTCAAAGATTAACAACAACATTGATATGATTGCATTATTTATTTTTTGTGTAGTGTCAAAAATGCCTCATTGACTTCCATTCAAACCACATGTTTTGATCTCACTGCCATTGCAGTATAACACCATGCATTTTGTAATGTCAGCATTTCATTTAGAAGAAAAGTAGTGATATTTGACATTTCTACTATGTTCCACCAGATTCAACCATTTTCCCACTGTAGGCCGAGGCATGAAATTCTTGTATTTTTGCCAGTTACATTATGTTATATATGATCATTTCAGGGGGGGGGCATGTGTTTCTCAAAAAAAGGGCAATAAGAATTACTCAATGTTGGCTATTGGGAAAATACAACAAACTATTAGAGTTAAACGTATTTGAAATTGTCGGAATTTCAAATCGACTCCCAGGTAATATTCAAATACATTTCACTAAAAGACAAGGGAATTATAATTTAAGGGGATTATTCCAATTCACTAATGTTAGGGTGCGCACAACCAAGCAAGGTTTTTGTATTTCTGTTTGTGGGCTTAACTGGTTAACTGATCAAAAATGCGTCCAGCTTCACAGGGACTAAGACTAAGACTAAGACTAAGTTAACACAAGCACTGTAAAACTGGAAGAAAAGAGAGAATCCTGCTACCGCGTAAAGGCGCAGTAACTGTGCAAGTATCACTCAGGAACCCGACAGCAGGTGAAGTGTGAGCTCACCTGGCGTGTTCTAAGGTTTTAACAGATAAGTGACAGTTTAACTTTACTGACTTAACGTGCGGTAAAGATACTAACAAAACAATACAATCAATGCGGGGTAAACATATCAATAAAACCACAAGCGGTAACCAGGCTTGGAATTTCATCATTTTAGGGGCAAGGCCATTTGGCCTTTGGTGTCACACGTTTCTTTAGGGCACAAAGGCCATTGAGGGAAAAATTAGGGTTTGGAGCTTACAAATAAATAACTTCACTTTCTGATAAGAAAAACACACGAATGACATGGAAAACAAATGACTTTCTATATATAATGTCAAACATTATATCATCATAGGCCTATGCCTCCTTAGTATTACCGTATATAAAATGAAATACTCTATTTTGAATAGTCTACTATATCTACAACTTCTCCCATTCACAAATCCAAAATCAAATCAAAACATCAGAGCAGAGCAAATTTCAGAGCAGAAGAAACAGCCTTCAAGGGTCAAAATCTGCTCATACATCATTCAGCAGTGCACACAGTGATGCTCCAACATTCAACTGTATGAACAAGCAATACTTTGAAATGCAAACGTGTGTGTGCGTGACGCGTTCTCGTGGTAGCCAATCAGCGGCGAGGATCTCAGCTTGCAGTCACTGATGTTGAATCAGAAAACCAAAACGTTAGCTGTTAGCACACAGAGCTCACAGCTCCTCATATCTGTTCAGAAACTGGACAAAAGTTAAACACTAACAAAACACAGACTGTCTGTGTCATGGCGAATGCAGTCGCTGTTGTATCTGTGTCTATATCATGTTGTTGTGAGTGTGGACCAGTGGCGAGCCGTCAGGGCCCTCTAGGCCCTCTGTGAGGGCCTAAGATATTCTAAAAAAATATATTTGAAAACATTAAAAAAAAATATATATTTTTTTTAAATATTATTTTTGATATTTTTTTGTTGTTACATTTTTCATTAATTTTACCAAAATAACTTGATTTAATTGTATTTAAAATAATATTTCCAAAGAAATAAATCCTTCGAATCTGCCTGTTCAGTTTCTGTTGGAATGTGAAGGGTTAAATGCCGTCTCTGCGAGTTATGTGAAGACGGGAGAGCTTGTTGGTCCCTCTCTACATTCACAGAGGGCCAGCTATAGTAACTCAACGAGAGAGTAATGTCAAATGACAGTACAATTGACCAATCATATCTTCCCTCTAAATGGGCGGGCTTTATTTTCGCGGACTTTATGACAGGATCCGCCCGCTGTGAGGTCTATGCATGGATCATACAGTATATGGCATGGATGTATAATAAGTATGTAGGATGTATAATGGTCTATGCAAGTGGTGCAGTGACGCGTCCTATAACCCGGAAGTAAGCTGCGCTCGGATTCTCTCGACAGAAAGCAACGGGATTTCTCCATAGGATTTTGGAATATAGCTCGAAATAAGGTCTGTGGAAAACGAACCTGTAATGCACGTTGTGTTCAGCCGGATAATATCCACATGTCTATCCTACTTCTATTATTTTTGAATCATAAATCTAAACGATAGATTTATGATCGATAGATTTATGATTAGCATAAGTTCGTTCATGATGGCTCACTTCAGTGATAGTGATGACATCGTTGCGAAATTATTAACCGAGTCATTTTCAAGATTGAGTTACAATGATAAACTGGAGTGGCAAAGGATCAGCTGAATGACCCGCAAGTGCTTCATCCAAAAGGACAGGAGGATGGACTTTGTGTTTAAGTGATTTGATCATCAAAGGTATGCCTAAGTCATTTTCAATGTGGGCCGCCGTGCCGACTTAATTCATTTGTAATTGCTACTTGGCTGTGGGTACCCTGTCATGATAGGTGTTTATATAAATGATGTTGTTCTGTGTGGCAGAGGGTCGCTGTCATTGATGCGTTTTGCACCCCGGACCGCTGTTTTGATATTCCGCTGAAGTCTACGTTGAGACGTAATATCTCTTCTTTTTTTTCGAGGGAAGGTGGGGTCAGAGGGCCTAGGTATAAAAGTCACGGCTCGCCACTGGTGTGGACGGAGAAGTTACAGGTTAGTTTAGCCTTATCGATCCGATCTCCATTAAGAAAAACACATTTTAAAAGGCTTTTCGCCTGCCGTCTTGTCTGCAGACTTGTCAAAGCATTAATTGATGGTTTTTACTAACCGTTATCAGTATGTTGTTACTTTGGCATAATTTTGAAACGTGTATTACAGTTAAATCACCGTCAAATATGTTCATTTTGTTGTAGTTGGTTTCTACCACAGTATTTACATGGAGATAAGCCCCGCCCCCTGGCCAGCGCGTCCTGTTTGAAGGTGAGAAGCCCCTCAATGCAATAGGCTTGTTTGAGACAAGCGAGACCTGCGCAGACCTGCGCAGACCTGCGCAATTTCGATCAACGTCTTGCTAGTGCGTTGCATGATGGTTAGTCATTTTGTCCGACTTGCTCTGGAGGCTCGCCTACATGAGACGTTGAAATCTCGCGGGACAAAGACGCCCGCAGCCTTGAGAGCGAGGCGCGGCGAGGCGGCGCAGTTCCTCTCCACGGGCTGCGGAAGCGAAATGCTTGATGGGAAACGACTCGCTGGTATCTCGAGCTGAGCGCTCATTGGTGGTTTTTACCACGTGCTGGTGATGAAACTCTCCAATTGGCTCGGCAAAAGTTTGTTGTTGTTTTGTGTCAGTTTTACGTCGCCACTTCCATTCACATTTTTCATCATTGTTCCACAATATTTATCATCATGAAATTAATATCCATATATTGTATACTATACTTGCACTGCTTACCGTTTCATACTTTATATATCTTAGCATATTCATACACACTGTTCATACTGCTCTCAGGCTGTTGTGTATAGTGTATTCATACCCCTCACTGTTTATTCATCATTCAATTCATTATATATTTTATTCTGTAGATTGTGTACATTACTTTTCACTTTACTGCTTGTTGCACCTGGTTAGAAGCTAAACTGCATTTCGTTGTCTCAGTACCTGTAATATGTGCAATAACAATAAAGTTGAATCTAATGTTGAGCAGGAACAAATGTATTTACTTAGTACATATCTGACATTAACGATTAAACACATGTGTACATTCTTTATAAATGCAAACCGAGTCAAGCCGACTCCGGAGGTGGCAGTATGCACCTTAAAGTTGTTTGCAATCCGCCAAAAAACCGAGAGAAGAAGAAGAAGACGAAGCCGACTCCGAGCTGTCCGACTTCAGGCGAGCTTTTTGAGACCTCCCCCGGCTGCGATCGGCTATTCTCGTCTACTTTCAAGGCGAGCCGCAACGCGTCTCAAACAAGCCTATTGCCTCAATGAGCTCAATGTGGGCGGGAGCTCAACGTGGCCGGTGGGTGGATTTTCACAGATGACGCGTTGCATCCTGTTTCCCGGTTAGCAGTTATCTTCCCTTCCCCCCATCCTAACCCTAACACTCCCTACCTTTTTACCTAATCCTAATCTTCCTCCCTCCCAAACCTAAACCCCAAAACCTCTCCTACTGTAAGAAATTAAAATCAATGTTGATATGACGTAATTTAAATTAAATACAGGGTTGTAGTGTCGAGAGATAGGGAGTCGGAGGCGGTGCAATGAAGGTACAAAGCTGGCTTTATTGAGCAGCAGAAATGCACATGTTGTTGGGTCGGAGCCCGGGAAGAGAAGAGAAAGAGAAAGGAAGGAGGACACAGTATATACCCCGGAGGTACAGTAGGCATTAGTGTCCGTGCGGAACAATACCCCCAACCTGTAGTTCCATGATTGAATTATGTAACCCAGTGTATTAATAAGTGATCACTCCACAAGCCCCCCCAGAATTCAAACATGGCATAATCCCCGCGTCCGGGAGCCACAGGGGCCGAGGAGGGTGGGGTTGAAGGTAAGGGCCCGGCCATGGAACGAGCCGTCGTAAGGGGGCCGCAGGGGGGCCCAGTGTGAGAAAAAGTTTTTAGAGAGTACTTGTCCAGACAAGTGAGTTTGGCAATTTACTTGTCCGAATACATTTTTCGCTTGTCCAGAATGGACAAAAATTGGGGCCACTGGAATCTTCTTCTTCGTCATCGTATTTTACATTTTCCCACGGTTTTTACGA